AAAGATTAAATTTGAGAGCCTTTGTCAATTCTTAATCTAGTCAAGAGCTCAGTCAGAGTTCAAGTGGAAGGCCTACCACAATGGTTCTCAACCCTGGCTAGACATTATAATTATATGGGGAGCTTTAAAAAATATCAGTAGTAAGACTGACATCAGGTCAATCAAATCAGTGTCTCTGGATATAGGGTTTAGACATTGGTATTCTTTAAAATCTGCCCAGATTATTCTAATAAGCCAATAGGATTTCAAACTCAGAAGGAAGATTGGGAAATCTACTTCTGTAGTGTTACTGCCTCAGAAACCCAAGGAGGGGTCACTATGAGTTGGATCCAACTTGACAGCAGTTAGTATCCCTAAAACAGATGTGTACACACTTCTCTCCCAATTAGACTGTGAACTCCTTGATGGTAAGTATCATGATTTACACATCTTTACTGCCCCAAAATCAACTAGCAAAATGTCTTGCGAGTGGCAGGTGCTCAGCAAATATTTGTGGAATGGATTTGATCCTTTCTACTACAGACAATGCTCCTATTCAATGAAATGAACACCTAATTTTGTAGACTTCAAAGAGGTCAAAGTGGAGAATAATCTTCAACTCTGCAACAATAAAGAATAACAGAATAAAGGCAATTGAATTGTTTGTAGAGGAGCAGGCGAAGTTAAAGATCCATGTTAACAGAAGTTTGTCAGATAAAAGTTTGAGATTGGAAACTGATAGGGAATAGAAATAATTTCTAATTTGGTTGTACTTAGAATTCTATTTTCTTTTTTTCTGAAGAGCCTTAGTATGATGGATAAAATAAAATAATTAATTTAAAAGAGTTGTCTTTTGTAGGAAGCTCCTAAAACTTATTGTTAAAAAGAAGAATAGTATGATTCTGTTGTGTAAATTGGAAAAATGAAGAAAGACAAAATGAAAATTCTTATATTGTTATCCAGGCATATTTTTTTTCAATTTTGTTTATTTATTTCCAATCTTTGTTGATATTCAAAAATATTTTTACATAGTTATGATCAAGGTGTGCAATCAGTTTTCTACCCTGTACATTTTTTTTTTCCTGTAACCATTTTGTGGGGCATTGTTGTAGGTTGTATTATTGTTCTTAATACTTCATTCCTGCCTATACATATACCCTTTATAATTCCTAACATTAGAACTGGAATATATTTTCCAGCTGCCTTGATGTGGACTTGGTCATGTGACCTAGACAAGGAAATGTCAGTAGTTGTAAGGTTTGCATATGTTTTTAGCATTGAGTTTATTCTCTTGGGCTTCTGCATTTACCATGAGAAGAACATGCTCTGAGTAGGCCATCAGTTGCAGAAGAATGAGAAACATGTGAAACAGACTTGAACTCAAATCAAGGCCTAAAGCCAAGCTCAACCAATTCAACTAGATCAGCCAAAACCCAACTGATCTGCAGATGTACAAGTGAAAAATAAATGCTTATTAATATATGACTGAGATTTCAAGGTTGGTTTTTCACAGCAGTAGCTGACATAGACATTTCCCTGTGTTGTAGCAGTCTTCAAAAATTAGTTTTTAATGGTTGCACAATATCCTAACCAGGTCATATGAAATGTCAATAATCAGTCCCCTATTATTTGGGTCATTGGCAAATTTTACACTATCAGAATTAATACAGACAAATACTCAGGCATGTAATGTTTTCTTTCTTAGATATATTTATAAATTCCCAGAGATGGGATTATGGGGTTGTGATAATTGGAGCTGTTTGTCAACTTGGCTGGACCACAATTCTGTGTGGTTTAAGCAATTCT